ACCATATCTCAGTAAGTACTCTACCGATCTCAATGAAATTCGGTATATAATATTTTCTTAACACCCTGATGACATGTACCAAATATGGGTGAAATCTGTTCACAACCACCCCTGAAATCTCGATTATCACTTTATCATGCGAGAGTATAAAATGTTCGGTGACACCCGAACTTAGCCCTTCCTTACTTGTTTTAACTGAAATTTTGAATCAGAATACGTCAAATATGCCAAAGACCTCTCATCATATCAAAATTTTCAATCAAATTTCTCAAGTAGTGTTATTGGCCAAAACACAATAACCAAACCAGATGAGTTTTTCTTATTTCCAAAAATAAAGAGAACCTTAAAAGCATTAAAAACGCATCGCTGAGAAATCTGAAGACTATCCAAAGTATTTCAAAGATTATAAGAAGAGCTGGTATAAGTGCATAATATCGAAACGGAACTATTTTGAAGGCGACAACATTAATCAAAAAACGAAAGTTACCGTTATTATTTTGCACCAACTCATACGTATATACTTAGAGTAACCAAACAATTGATATAGTTTTTTTTTTTCTCAAAAATCGGCTTTTGGCTATCAGATGACTTTACGGCCCCACAGTTTACTTTAGTGATGCCAGCTTTTCCAATAAGTCAACAAATGTGCTTACAACTCGTTTCAGACTTCTCAGCAAATTCACTAATGAAAATATTGAGGAAGTATGGAAAATAATTAGATCAACTGCTCAATCTGTCATTGTTGATAACATAATCTATAGTTGGTACGAAAGTTAAATATCGGTTGAATGACAATCTTGCAGTTATAAATAGCGAGTATAAGCCATATATACTGTCTCACATATAGTTATAATCCATAACACTCTTATAGAGACTCAGTTTCGTTTTTCTGTTCGCGATTTTTACTCGCCCTGCACTCCTGCTCTCTAAATGCACTCATCATTGGTTTTCGGAAAAGTCAAAAGAACAGCTTTTACTATGAGGACTGTCGTGTCGCAGTAGAGAAAAAGCAGATACCTTAAAAAAACGAGGGTAGTGGGATAGATAATAGGAGTTGAAGAGAGTAGCGAGGTAGTGACAATGATTGAAAATTCTACGAAAAGATGCGGCGTCTAGCGAAAGTTTTGAAGATCGGAGCATACTTTTGCAGGACCCAAAGTGGTGATCTAGTGGCTGACGGTGAGCATAGTGAAGAACAAATAGGGAAGTGGAAATTTTGTGTGAAACTCGATAAATCTGCGACCAGACCTTTTTGGAGGCCCGGGAAGCAGTCGCTGATGAAGACCGTACTGGGAGACCTGCTACTTCGACAAACACCGACAATGTGACTCGTGTGCGAAAAGTTGGAACACAGACAGTGGACTAAGTATTCGTTTAATTGCCCAGATGTTAAATTTATCAAAATCTGTTCATGACATTGTGAGGGAACACTTGAACATGTACAAGATTGTCCCAAAAGTGCGCACTGACGACCAGAAATTGTGGCGAGTGGATGTGTGCCAAGAAAATGTAAACAAGTGGTATCCCAACGCTTCCGTAGCCGCCCTACAGACCAGAACTTTTTTTCCTTGCCTGAAAAGGCCGGTGAAAGGGATGCATTTTGAGATGATAGAGGAGATCCAAGCAGCATGCCTCTCGGCTCTCAAGGCTATTCCAGAGAATGCCTTCCGTGACGCCTTCAATGCTTGGAAATCACGCCAGCAGCGCTGCATCGACGCAGAAGGAGCTTATTTTGAAAGTTTATAAAGAATTGCAACTATTAGTTTTATAAATTTTTTTAAATCAACTCAGTCCTATTACTTTATAGAGAAACCCTGTAAGGTCTTATGAAACGTAGGATGTAAAAGACTGAAACCCATCGTCAAAAAACTGATTGGACCTTAGCAGTGCATCTTTGGGCCTGGAAAATCTACAATTGACCAGGTTTTTACCACTCGCCGATTTTAAAGCTGCATTTGACAGCAAGAAAAGGAGCTGCCTTTATGCCGCTATTGCTGAATTTGTTATCTCCGCAAAAGTAAAGTAATATTTCGATGAAAAAAGACCAACTCTATAAGTCCCTGCCATATAGTGATATATAGAGGATCATATCAACTGATGAGTCGATGTTACGAGTTATCGATAAAAAGGTGTTGCGGAAGATTTATGGTCATTAGCGCATTTTCAGCGGCGAATACCGCAGTCAATGGAACAATTAGCTACTGTGATATATAGTAGGTCAACATCGACATAGTTGAGCGATTCAAAATACAATGGCTGGCTGGGATAGAAGGCTGTACGTGGTATCTCGAATTGGTGCCAAATAGCGAAAAAAGTGTTGTTAACTAGGCTACATGTAACCGCGTAAGCATTGTCTACGCCAGGAATGAAGAAGATATCACGGAACAGGATTCCATTATATAATATTATTTTGATATTAAATTTCCAAAAGCTTTGAGTACTCTCTGAAGTATGATGTAGTCGTTATAAGAAGCAGAGGTTGTGGTCTCCAAGTTTGTGAAGTATTTATTTCATTTACATTACACTCAAAACAGCTCCATTTTTTATTTGGCTGGAAACAAAAGCTCAAATACTTTACTTTTGAAGCTTTTATAAATGTGACAGCTTTTTGAGGCAATGATACCAAGGTTGCCATTGAAAGCAATTATATACTTAAATATGGACTTGCGCAGCAAATGTACAGTATTGCGAACTCAAATAGCATAACTTACTTTATTAAAAAAAAAAAAAAAAAAATCAAATTTTTTAAATAAGACACTGAAAGTAGTTTCACATTGGAAACATTTATTTCGCGTCACACATATTATATGTATAATGTCTCGCATATAATTTTCATTTATTTTGTTTAATAAAATTTTTTTTGCACACATTTCTCCTATGTGCTGTTTAAATTTTTCGTTAATATTTTTTTTCAAGTTATGAATTTTGTGTTTCTTTTTTATACTTTTAATTTTATTCTAGTTTTTCTATACCTATTAAGAATGAGGGCTCCTTTTTTGGCCTAGTTCTAGGACGTAGAGACCATCGCTTCTGTGAATTTATGGACATGAGACTCCGCTGGGGTCGCAGCAGCGTCAGTTTCCGTTCCTTATGGAAATGCAGATTTTTTAAGGGTTTGGGCGTACTTGCTCGTTTGGGTGGAGTTATGCCGTCATTGGAAAGGCGCAAGCTCTCTTTAAACCATGCGATCTGTTCCACCAAGTACGAGCGACTTGTTTGGATTTTCTCAATAGCTGTTTTCAAGTAAGTAATGTTTCCATCTAACCGAGAGTATTCGCTGTCATAATGTAGCGTTAACTTCGCTATGCGTTGGCGCAAATTCTGTAGAAGACATGCTAATTTATTTACTTATGAATAGAATTAGAAAAGCCTGTATTTCACCTCTATCTGATTGAAGTAAGTGTCCGTTGTGCAAGTTGTTGCAAACTGTTCTTCATAAAAACGTTTCTTGGCTTTTTGGATTTCCTTCTTTAGCCGCTTCTCGGCCATTTGTAGGCGCATTTCGGCCTGCTCCTCTTTCACTTGGTGGAAACGCAGCACATAATTATTCTCTATATTGGAAATCACTGAAAAAATATATTTTTTTAAGTTAGCGCTTTCTAATAAATAAAGAAGGTTCTTTACAAAAGAGATCCTCCGGCTTCTTGGTTAACGAGCCCATGGTTCTTTTAATAAAAGCCAAGGCGATGAGTTGGAGGCGCACTCTGCCAGACTTTTCCTCATTCTTTTGCACTTGTTTTGAAATTTCTGCCTCGAAGTTATGAAATTTCGCAATGGACCTATATTTAAGTAACAAAAAAAATTTAAAAAAGTCTAAAAAATTTTATAATTATCATTAGTTTTTTACGCCATAACATCCATTGGCATTATAAATTCATTTTTGTTCCCATAACAATCGCACAAATCGTAGAGGCAGTTCCGTATAGCCGCATAGTTCTTCAGCTTCATCCATATTGTAAATTGTCTAGGTGACATCTGGCGGTCGATGACTTTGAACCACAGCAATCTGTTTGACTCCGTATCCAACCAGTCTTCGTACTTCCAACTTAAGATCTGTTCCGGACATTGCACATGTATGAATTTGCCCAATTTGTTACGTTCCAGATCCTCTATGAACATTATCCTGTTCATTAGCTTCTTGATCGCCATATGCACGGCCAGTATTTTGAGCTTCACT